TCTTAAGCCACCTTGCCTGCTGGTGGTGGTCAGAGGGACCGGTGGCGCCTGTACTCAGCAGCCTCGCCTGCTAGTGCGCCCCAGGGCAGCTGTGGCTACATTGTAGCCACCAGCGTGTGTGAATGTGTGTGTGAATGGATGAATGATACACTGTAGTGTAATGACCTTCCTACACAAGGTCGCCTAACTATGCAAATTTTTAATAATCAGTAATATATTCATGAACCTTTCACTACTTGGGTTCAAAAATGTACCTTTCAGGCTTTTAAAGTGTCCTCATAGTTGCCTGGAGGTCCATTAATAAACCCTCAAGGACACATAGGTCCTGATTGTACCCTGAGGGACCATGAACGTATTTCCTCTGTATTCTCTCTAACCTTGAAGTCGGAGGATTCTTTGACACGGCAGGCGTCATTTCCTCTCTTTTTCACAGCCTCTTCATGCAATCTTTGCCAACACATAAGCTCATTCCCCTTTCCTTCCCAACCTCCCTCCACAGTCGTTTTCTTAACCAACTTTCACTTAAAATAGGTTCAGACGTTTAGCTTTTACAGTCAACAAATCTGTCACAGTTAGTGTTGTTACAACATTTAGCAACCAGGCACTGGGTCCATGGGGCGGAGCAAGGATGAAAGCTTTTGGGCCTACACTCAGATGTGTGACTGTGCTGAAAATACACACTCATGATTGGTTTAGACTGAATGGGATTTGTGGGCGGGAATGCTGTTGAAAAGAGGCCTGGCACTCCAGGGAAATCTAATAAATGGGAATGCGTTGTATGTATTCCCAAAGTAAAAACGACGTCAAGTCCTGGCAGGATGAAATAACGTTGATGCGTTTATTGCTGAAGAGAAAGGCATTAAAGTTTTAAGGGTTTAGTGAAGACTTCTACAGATCATGGTCATGGGCCAAATTCTGTTTTGGAGGCTTTGATAAATGATAAATGACCCGCACTTGTATAGCGCCTCTCACAGTAAGGACTCCAAAGCACTTTACACTACAGAGTATCATTCATCCATTCACACACTCATTCACACACTGATGGTGATGAGCTACAATGTAGCCACAGCTGCCCTGGGTGCACTGACAGAGGTGAGGCTGTCGAGCACAGGCGCCACCAGTCCCTCCGACCACCACCAGCAGACAAGGTGGGTTAAGTGTCTTGCCCAACGACACAACAGCAGAATTCTCTGTCCAGAGCCGGGATCTTCCGATTACTGGGCAACCTGCTGAGCCTGTTGAGCTACTGCTTGACCACCTTGTATTAATCCATTGAAGCAGGAAAAGGGCATTTGTGTCCGTAGAGGTGGGCCAGTAGTATGAATACAAATGTTTTAACTCAAACGTAGCCATAGATGTTTTTGAAGATTTGCTAGTTCATATAAAGAGAAACTAAAGTTTGTATCATTTTATTACTGGTTGGTTGGTTGGTTGGTTGGTGGATGGTTGGTTGGTTGGTTGGTTGGTGGATGGTTGGTTGGTTGATGGTTGGTTGGTGGATGGTTGGTTGGTTGATGGTTGGTTGGTGGATGGTTGGTTGGTTGGTTGGTTGGTTGGTTGGTTGGTGGATGGTTGGTTGGTTGGTTGGTTGGTTGGTTGGTTGGTTGGTTGATGGTTGGTTGTTGGTTGGTTGGTTGGTTGGTTGGTTGGTTGGTTGGTTGGTTGGTTGAAACCAGTCTTTTGATGTAAGTATTTCAACATTTTGTCTAAGCAAGGCAGTACTCAAGTAGACTGCTTCTATCTTCAACACTCAAATCATAAAGTGTCTTATCACTAGCCTGGCCTATCAGTCTCGCCCTCTGTCTATTCTGCACAGAGGACGAGTCTGGATACTCAGAGGCAGAGAGCAGCATTAGAGGGCGGGACTAGCCAGCTCAAAAATAACCAATCAGGAAAAAAGCAGAAATGACGACTGTATTCCAAGATCACGTCATGGAGGTAACCGGCTGCAAGAGGGAAGCCCAGACATCCTCAAAGATATTCTCTAGTTCATCCTGAGGAATTTCAAGGTCCTCTATTGTCCTGCAGATAGTTCTGGGTCCCCGCCATTAAAGAGCTAAACACCAGGCCAGCTTCAGTCCATCCTGGGTCATGCTAAACGACCACTTACGGAGGAGGTAACTTGATACGAGTGTTAAAGTAGCTGCCAGGAGGTTTGGTCTCCCTTCCCGTTTCTAGGTAAGTATAAAAACAGTCATATTAAGGTCTAGTCTACCAAACTGAAAAATTTATTAACAATTTTCTAATAAAAAAAGATTATCTGGGCGATGGAGGATTTCATGGAATCTTAAGAAAATGGTTATTTAGTTGTGTTTGTTATCAGAGTTGATTAGATACAGACGCTGAGACAGAACATGCTTACCTCAAGATAACAGGTTCAAATTCTATTTTACTTGAGTTTGAAGGACTTGTTTTATTTCCTGGAAATAGTTTCTAAATGACACATAAGCAAAAGAAAGAAGGACAGTCACCCTGTCAGCTACCTCCAGGTCCACACATCTCTGACGGCAGTGGCGAGGAAGCACGCTGGTTATAGCTAAAACAGAAATGAGGACATTTCTGCACTACAAACATCTATAACTACTGCCTGTGTGGACACGCATGATCGCCGTTTCTTTTACAAAATCTCATGAGCCACTGAACCGACGAATAAAACTATCAGAAAGTACCTGCAACTAAAAGAAAGATGGCCACCACCGCTTACTGTATTTATAAAAACAACTGTGACTCAGCAAGTTTTACAGCCGTTGAGGTGAACGTTGGTTAAGTGTCACGCTCAACCGTTTGAGCCCTAAACGTGTGAAGCGTTGTGCTGCCCACCAGAGTCTAGCTAAATACGTCATGAGCCACAGGACGGAGTTTACAGACATTCTGAAATAATAGTCAGAGTGTTTGTTTACAACTGATCAACTTTTGGAGTTAGTCTCTTTCTGCCGTGTGAGGCCTGAGCTGGACTACATGTGCAACCTTTGGCTTTAGGAGAACATTAATGATGAAGAAGTCTTCTTAGTGATGTTACATGATCTCTGGGTGTCTCCAGCCCCGAGGCAGCCTCCCTCTACTGCATTTTTCACCCAAACACCTTCCGGACCATTCATTTAAATGTTAGACCTGAGTGCCCCCTGCTGGTTGTCTGCGCACCCTGCACCTTGAAGAGAACACTGCGTTCACCTGACTCAGACAAGCCATTTTCCTCCTCTGGATGTGATCTGTGTAAACAAACAACCCCTTGATAATACCGTGAAGGTCTTGTTAGCGTTGTTGAAGGAGATGTGAAAGGGTTCGGTGAAGGTCCCCGAGCATGAATAATTTAAAAGCCTTGACAACATCTAGTTTATGGGAAAAACAAACTAACTTTCAAAACGGCGTCTACACAGCCACCTGCTCCTGACCTTTCTTCCATTACAAGCACACAAAGTGGTGTTTATTCTCCACCATGCCCTTTTGTTATTGCTTCCTGCCAGAACCTGAGCTTCTCACCCCCATTTGAGTCTGACCTACTTCAGCCCTCCAATCCAGCCCATTTTCATATCCCATTGGGTTTAGAGGCAGACTGCTTCAGCCTCTCCGGTAAATAATCAGATAGCTCTATCTGCTCCTGAACCCCTATGACTATGCAGAAAGTCTAAATACTTAACCCAGATAAACAGTCAGAATAAACACACGAATGAGAGGGAGGAGCCTCGTGTTGATGAGAAAATCAGAAGCACAAAAGTGAAGTCTAGAGCTCGGCTTTCCTTCTGGAGTTGGTTTGGATCTCCTTAGTCTTGTTCCTGACGTGCTTCATTCAGCATTGACACACTCACCCATAACTGGGAGCATTTCTGTTATGGTTTGCTGTAGCTTTGCCTCAAAGGGAGCAGGCAAAGCTCAAACATGCAGACATGTTTTCCATTGAATGTGATTTCATCAAAACTCCATCGCTGTTGGATCTCTATAGCTCAAGTTAGGGCTGGGCCTAAAATCATTACCACGCTGCACTGAGGATTTCACCTCCATAACAATAAATGGACGATAACTACGTGTATGCACAGAAACAAAAGTTGTCCGCTTGATGGGGCTGCCACGTGTATTACGCTGAGTCACGTTGTCATGGCAATACATTTTCTATTCATTCCCCAGCCCTAGCTCAAGTCAGACTTCAAATACCTTTCAAGTCTCAACCCCTTTCAGACTGCTGTCACACATTCACATGACAGCACTTTAAGACATCTAGCCCAGGGGTCTTCAACCAAAGGCTTTGGAGCAACAAGTGGCACTTTGGATCTTCCGAACCCCTAGTTTGATCTGTGACGTGGAAATTGTAAGTGGTTCTGGAGGTTAAAGAGGGATCCAGCCTGACACTAGCAAGGAGGATCTGTTAAAGTAGTTAAATTGTGTGGTATCCTTGTGATTTTCTTTATCTTAAATACAAGTAGATGCCTACCACTGGCTGGTAATTTCTCAGCTCTGCCCTTTAGTCCAGAACCATCCACTGCACCAACGACCCAAAGCACAGGGACACACGATGTGATCTGGATGAAAACCTAAGTAGTAAATTGCATAGTGGGATGAAGTTGTACCAGTTTGTATGGTGCATGTGAAACATTATGATTAAAAACAGAAACCAAAATCAGAACTGATGGGGAGGAGCTTGATGATGTAACTCAAGATGAATACATCAGAATGAGGGCAGTGCATGAGTGTATTAAATCATGGCAGCAAAACTGTGTGTATGTAAAACACATCGAGATGTGACAGCTCAGTAAAGGAGAATAAATAGGGTGTAAAAGGTTAGCGTTAAAATTATGCTATTTCACAACACCATACTAAGTTGTGTAGTGTTATTTTTTACATGAGAACCCTAAAATGTGTTTTAATGGTTAAATAAATGACTGGATGACCTTTGACGGTGCTTCTTTAACTGTCCTTGATCACATGTGCAACATTCACCTTTGACTTAAACACAACCAAACTTTATCTCTACGTCAAACTATCAGATTATTCTTATTGGTCGGTTTAGAGCACTTGCTTTTGACGCTTGTTTGTGATTGGTCGAACTGGCGCGCTGCTAACTTCAGGGTGAGCAGACCGTCAGCGTGTGTCCCCGGCAGCGGCAGCTAGCAGCTAGCAGCATTTAGGCAAACATGGCGAGCTGGTGCGTCCGAGCGGTGAGACAGAGCTACTCTCTTGTAGCTTCACCTGCTTTATTAAGGTGAGCCCGTTTACCCTGGTCGTTTCTGTTGCTACTTTTACCGGAACTGTCGTTTACAGACTATTAGCCGGTTAGCAGCGTTAGCTCTAGTAGCCTTCTTCAGAATTTCGACCTTTAGAAGAAGTTAAAACGAACTGCGTTGGTGTTTTGGAGGTAGACTCGAGCCGCCTGAAGCGCGTAACCACCGTGTGATCTGTGACAAACTGGTAAATCATTACTGGGAGCTGATGGATGTGGTTTTGTCATGGTGAAGTGCTGTTTAAGCTAAGCTAACGTTCAGGCTGACCTCCAATAGATGTAGATGCAGCTATAACTGTGGAGTTGTGGCTTATTTTGTGTGTGTTGGTAATAAAGCCTCCTTTTACCAATACGTTATTAATGAAGTTGGGCGTCATATCACACTTCAACCCGACTGGCTGGAAACAGATGATGACATAAGTTGACATAGAAAGATGCAGAAGACCCACCGAGTGTGTTTACACCGGAGCTAGGCGTATTTAGGTTCATCATTAGGTTTGTACGATGCTTATACAACCATCTCATGTGTGGAGGTGGAGGTAGGCGACTGTAAGAAGGGCTAAGCTGTCTCTTGTGTCTAGAACATCTCCACGGCTGCTGTGCACAGCCACCCAGCAGAAGAATGGCCACAGGTCAGAGGAGGAGGCCGAGAAGACGGAGCAGAGTGGAGCAGAGAAAGTTCTGATGGAGGAGAAGAGCCAGCTGGAGGAGCAGCTCAAGGAGATGACGGTGAGACCTCATTCAGATCTGGAACTAGAGCTGAACTTCACAGCCAGAGTTTCCAGTGTCAGAAAGGAGCGTCTCCTTTTAGCTTGGCTAGATCCGCTTGGTAACAGAGACTGTAAATCAGAATCAGAAGGTTTCATTTCCATTTGGGTGAGAAATCACAACATTAGGAAATCGCTAGCCTGACCAGCCAGCCCCATGCTTCCCATAAGGAGCTCTATTAAAATAACCCCGCGCCCTTAGAATTCTAATCGAGTCAGTTAGTGCTGAGCAGAAGTCGTCACACACGACGGCGCTCAGTTTCTCATAAACGACGGAGACGGAGTCTGAAGTGGACTTCGCTGCGTCTCTTTCCTCTGTTCCAAATGACTTGAACACGCCTTTAAAACAAGTAGAAGGTCTAAAAGCCCTTCTGAAGAAAGATGTTTGCGCCATCGCCTTTTTTGACCACAGCTAAAAAACTTCAGCGTTGTGCGGTACAGTCGGGGTTTCCACCTTTTTTCTGATTGGTTCTTTTTGAGCTGGCTAGTCCCGCCCCTCATGTGCCTGACACTTAACCCCCTTACCTGCTGGTGGTGGTCGGAGGGACCGGTGGCGCCTGTGCTCGGCAGCCTCACCTCTGTCAGTGCGCCCCAGGGCAGCTGTGGCTACATCGTAGCTCATCCCCACCAGGGTGTGAATGTGTGATTGTGTTGTAAAGCGCCTTGGGGGGTTCCAGGGCTCTAGAAGGCGCTGTGTCAAATACAGGCCATTAATCATTTTACGTCACTGAGTCAGCGGAGGTGAGCGTCGTGTGTGGACGTTCCGGAGGAGAAGTGCTGATGGAAGGGTTCAGGAGTCTGTAAGGACTTCCTGTTAAGTTTAGGAATTAAAAATACAGGAGAGCTGCTGTAGCCAGCGTCTCACAGTCTCCAATGGGGGGGGGGGGGGGGGGTGTCTCCGTGAATGAACTTACTACTGGAACATTTTAGGAGTAAAATAGTTTACAGGTTTTAAAATGGTTTCCAGTCCAAAACAGGAGAATTGGCAGGTGTGGTCCTGGTTCTGTGGAGGAACTGTCAGTGAAGGCTTTCACTTCACAACTCCACCTCTCCTGGTTTCGGCTCCACTGAGTGTGACTTCTTCTCTTCTACGCGTCGCTTTGGAGCCATGAAGCGTTCACACTGGAGAGAGCTGGATGTCACATGTCAGTCAGAATACGAGCAACCACACAGAAAAAAATCAGAATTGAGCATCAAAGCCCGCAGTGTGAACATAGCCAAAGAGACGTGTCCAGTCATGGGTCAGTTGTTCTCCATGCCTCGATGTCCTGGAGGTGTGCAGGTCCTGTATGGAGGGGAGTTTGCAGCCAGTGACCTTCTCAGCAGAGCGTGCAACCCGCTGCAGCCTCTTCTTGTCCCTGGTGGTAGCTCCAGCGTAGCACACAGCGAGTGAGGAGGTGAGGATGGACTTGATGACTGTGGTGTAGAACTGCCTCATCAACTGTGCTGGCAGGTTGAATTTCTTCAGCTGCCTCAGGAAGTTCATCCTCTGCTGGACCTTTTTATGATGGAGGTGATGTTGGGCTCCCACTTGAGGTCCTGGGTGATGGCGGTGCCCAGGAAGTGACATGAGTCCGCCATCGGGATGTCAGGCAGGGTTATGGGACGGGGGGGTCTGTGTGCTTCTGTATCTGGACCTTATGCTGATACCGGTACCATCTCACCCCCCTGGGGTTTTTATTTCAGGTAAAAATAAATCAAGCATTATAAAAAAAATGCAACAAAACTATCATGACTGCTGTCTTTGGTTGCTAATAGGCAGGGATGTGTATTTTTGAAATTCTGGCGATACGATACGTATCACGATACAGGGGAGGCGATACGATGTATTGCGATACATTCAGTCAGACGTTACAAGCAATTTTTTTACTGAATTTATTGTAAGAATGTTCAATAAACAGTCCAAACTGATACGTAACATGTTTAACATGAGGTATCTGAACCATGATGGAGGGTTTTACATTTCAATGGTGGAAACAAAACCTGATGCACACTGCTGCCACCTAGCAGGTGGCGATTGAATTGCACAGAACGAAAAGAAAATGCACAAATGTTTGCATGTAAATTCTTTCAACAATTAGATACACGGCTTTTGAATATCGATATAATATTGCTGAAAAAATATCACGATATATCGCCATATCGATATTTTCTTACATCCCTACTAATATGGGTGGGAATCTTTAGGCTCCACATGAAGCAGTTATGATTCAGAGATGTGATTATAAAACTAAGTATCTGTTAACAGTACTGATATCTGCCAGAGTATAAACGGGTATAATGGAAAGTTCAGCACCAGAGAAAGTCAAGTTATTGAAAACAGAATATCACTTATCGTATGACAGCAAGACTTTCACTCGTTTTCATTTTATTTGATGATTTCATTCATTCCAGGTTGGTTCTAGATCTAATAACAGCTGGTTTCTGCAGACAGACAGAACCGCGTTGTTGTTGTTGTAATAATCCCATACAGGATTAAAATCTGATTAGAAAGATTTATTTTCAGAATCAATAAGATTTTATTTCTGTCACCTGATCATCTTAGTAGGGGTAGATATGGACTCTGTGTAAAATACAGGTCCTTCTCAAGAAAGTAGCATATTGTGATAAAGTTCATTATTGTCTGTAATGTACTGATAAACATTAGACTTTCATATATATATTAGATTCATTACACACAACTGAAGTAGTTCAAGCCTTTTATTTTTTCTAATATTGATGATTTTGGCATACAGCTCATGAAAACCCAAAACTCCTATCTCAAAAATTAGCATATCATGAAAAGGTTCTCTAAACGAGCTATTAACCTAATCATCTGAATCAACTAATAACCTATAAACACCTGCAAAAGATTCCTGAGGCTTTTAAAAACTCCCAGCCTGGTTCATTACTCAAAACCACAATCATGGGTAAGACTGCCGACCTGACTGCTGTCCAGAAGGCCATCATTGACACCCTCAAGCAAGAGGGTAAGACACAGAATGACATTTCTGAACAAATGGGCTGTTCCCAGAGTGCTGTATCAAGGCACCTCAGTGGGAAGGAAAAAGTGTGGCAGAAAACGCTGCACAACCAGAAGAGGTGACCGGACCCTGAGGAAGATTGTGGAGAAGGACCGATTCCAGACTTTGGAGGACCTGCGGAAGCAGTGGACTGAGTCTGGAGTAGAAACATCCAGAGCCACCGTGTACAGGCGTGTGCAGGAAATGGACTGCAGGTGCCGCATTCCCCAGATCAAGCCACTTTTGAACCAGAAACAGCGGCAGAAGCACCTGACCTGGGCTACAGAGACGCAGCACTGGACTGGTGCTCAGTGGTCACAAGGACTTTTTTCAGATGAAAGCAAATTTTGCACATCATTTGGAAATCAATTCAATTCCATTCAATTCAAGTTTATTTATAAAGCGCCAAATCACGACAAGAGTCGTCTCAAGGCACTTCACATAATAAACATTCCAATTCAGGTCAGTTCATTAAGCCAATCAGAAATAATGTTTCCTATATAAGGAGCCCAGCAAATTGCATCAAGTCAAGGTGCCAGAGTCTGGAGGAAGACTGGGCAGAGGGAAATGCCAACATGCCTGAAGTCCAGTGTCAAATACCCACAGTCAGTGATGGTCTGGGGCGCCATGCCAGCTGCTGGTGTTGGTCCACTGTGTTTTATCAAGGGCAGGGTCAATGCAGCTAGCTATCAGGAGATGTTGGAGCACTTCATGCTTCCATCTGCTGAAAAGCTTTATGGAGATGAAGATTTCATTTTTCAGCACGACCTGGCACCTGCTCACAGTGCCAACACCACTGCTAAATGGTTTACTGACCATGGTAATACTGTGCTCAACTGGCCTGCCAACTCTCCTGACCTGAACCCCGTAGAGAACCTGTGGGATATTGTGAAGAGAAAGTTGAGAGACGCCAGACCCAACACTCTGGATGAGCTTAAGGCCGCTATCGAAGCATCCTGGGCCTCCATAACACCTCAGCAGTGCCACAGGCTGATTGCCTCCATGCCACGCCGCACTGAAGCAGTCATTTCTGCTGAAGGATCCCCGACCAAGTATTGAGTGCATAACTGAACACAATTACTTGAAGGTTGACTTTTGTGTTAAAAACACTTTTCTTTTATTGGTCGGATGAAATATGCTAATTTTTTAAAATAGGAATTTTGGGTTTTCATGAGCTGTACGCCAAATCATCAATATTAGAAACAATAAAAGGCTTGAACTACTTCAGTTGTGTGTAATGAATCTAATATATATGAAAGTCTAATGTTTATCAGTGCATTACAGAAAATAGTGAACTTTATCACAATATGCTAATTTCTTGAAGGACCTGTAGACACAACTGCTTTTTAGTCTGTTAGTTTAATCATGATGATTATTATTATTTTCCAGGATAAGTACAAGAGGGCTTTAGCAGACACAGAGAACCTGAGAATGAGGAGTCAAAGGATGGTGGAGGACGCTAAATTATACGGTAAAAACCTTTTTCTGGGTATTTTTATTTGATTCCCACAGAGTTCTACTTCAGAAATGCATCAAACGTGATGCAGTTACACACAGAAGCCACTAGATGTCAGAAAGAGCAACTTAAACTAATATAATTAAATAGTGTTATAGTGGTGGACTTTAAACTTGTATTTTCAGTGTTTGGATAAAAAAATACTTTTATTTTATTTTATTTATATATTTTATTTATATATTTATTCTGCTTCTTGTTTAACTGTGAGTTGAAAACATTTTCTTCTGATGGAAGTGAACTCAAAACAGAAAAAAGTCATGATTTATGTGTCTTGCATTCAACATTTTACTGTTAGAAATAAGGTTTAATCATGAGTAGAGATCAGGTCAGCTGACAGTTGAAGCTCTGACTCTCTTTAGGCATCCAGAGCTTCTGTAAGGACCTCCTAGAGGTGGCTGATATCTTGGAGAAGGCCATGGAGAGCGTACCTAAGGAGGAAGTGTCGAGTAAGAACCCCCACCTGAAGAACCTGTTTGATGGCCTGGTGATGACCGATGTCCAGGTCCAGAAGGTGTTTGCCAAGCACGGCCTGGTCAAGCTCAACCCCGAGGGCCAGAAGTTTGACCCCTACGAGCACGAAGCCCTTTTCCACGCCCCCATAGAAGGCAAAGAGCCTGGCACTGTTGCCGTGGTCACCAAAGTGGGGTACAAGCTTCACGGGCGCACCCTCAGGCCGGCGTTGGTGGGTGTGGCCAAAGCCCCTTAGAAGTGAAGAAGTCGCTGTGTCACAGAGTGGGACTGGCTTTGTTGCATGAGTGATGGATGACCTCCAGGCTCGGCAGACTTTTCCCACAATCCTGTTTTCACCCCCCCAGCAGGTGCTACAAGGACAGGCGCCCAGCTGGACCTCCTGTTCAGACCACATCCATCAGTTTAAACAGCTGCCTGGCTCTGGGCAGAAGACTTCCTGTCTGACATCAGCCTGGTGACTTCTTTCTGATACGATCAGATTCTTTAATAAGTCGGAGGATCGTCTCAGAAACAGATGGAGGTCATTAACCTCAAGAAGGAACAGCAGGTCCCCAAGTACAGCTGCTGGACTCATTCCAAAACCTTCTTTTAATTATTTACAAGTTTATTTGTTTTACCTGTGTTCTGTAGTACAACGAAAACAGCACTGGAGATGTTTTATACTGAAGTCAGCTTCCTGCTTCGGTTTTAGGAAAGAAGGATCTATTGTAGTCACACAGCCACAGACCCTACCCCTGAGACGGTTGGGCTCTGCACTGGAAGAGCGATGGTGCACCTGGTGGTCTGTGGTCCATTGTAGGAAATGTCACTATGAGAATAAACAAACGTGTTGGGAATCTTTGTCACATTACTCAGATTTTTTAAAACTAGGTAATAATTGGTACGGTAAACGGTAAACAAGCTCGGTGAACCCCCGACTAGGGAAGGTGGCTCCAACAGGTCCCAGGAACATCGTCGGATCTCTGAGAGGAACCCTCAGCTCCCGGGCCCCTGCAGAGGAAAAACCTTTGATGACCACTGTTAGGAGTACGGTATTATGGCGGATCTGTGAACAAGCTAGGTTTGAACCCAAATAGCAGAGGTCACTGCTTTGCAAGTCTCAAGTTAGTCACAAGTCTTTCCAGTCAAGTCCAAGTCAAAGACAACCGAGTCCAAAGTCAATGATGTGGAAGTCCCAACTCCAAGTCCTTAACTTTGAATTTTCAAGTCATCTGTCCAACTTCAATTTAATGACGATGATGATAAATAAATTCCAGAATAAAAGCTTCGTTTATTTGCTCAAACAAGCAGAAACTGGTTCTAAATAAAGAGCTGCTGCATTCAGCAGTAATTCAAACCTACAACGAAGAATGAGTCACGAGTTTTGTCCATGTCGGGCCACTTTTGTGCTAAAATATCAAATATGCTCAAGTCATCAAGTCAACAGATGCAAGTCGATTTCAAGTCGCAAATCACTGGCGTTCAAATCCGAGTCAAGTCGTAAGTCTTTATGGATTTTATCAAGTCAAGTAGGAAGTCATTAAAATAATGACTCAAGTCCAAGTCATGTGACTCGAGTCTACACCTCTGACAGAACCCTCCCCCGGCTATCTTTCCTGAGACGTGTCTGCCGGAATTGGAAACCCACATTTCCAGAGGAAACGAGATATCGCTAAACACCAGTTGTCTTTATCTAGGTCCAAACGTCTATGGTCCGTGATTTCAAACGGTGTTTTTCTTGTTGGGACTCTGGTAGTTTGTCCTAAAGAATTAGTGGTAGCAGCCGGCTGTTTCCCCTCTGATCTATTGAGTGGAGAACCTCTCACCAGTGGAGTTCTGATGCTAATTACGCGAGTGTGTGATGAGTGGGCATCGTTTGATTTTGAACGATTCCGATTCCTCGTTTCGATTCTGGTTCCTATCGATTCCCGATTCCGATTCTTTGAAGACATGACATGTTTACATGAGCCAGCTAACCACAGGTCCTACTTGATGAAATAATCTTAACTTCAACATGAATTTTAATTCTATGAACAACAACATCACCTTCATTTGGACAAAAACATGTTTTGGAGACAAAAAGAAGACGACTTGCAGCACAACCAGTGTGTTTGTTTCTGACCACGACCAAAGTGTGGAAGCAGCCTCTGGGATGAGAGGCTAAATGTCTCCAACATATCCAGAAACGTCCAGCTGTTTCCAGCTAAAACTCTCAGGATGATCATGTCCAGGATGACTGAGAACTACACCTCCATGCTGCAGCAGCTTCAGTCACAACAGGAAGTTAGATGTAGCTGCTGTCAGTAACAATCTAACAGATTTAAACATTAAAACTCAACAGAAATAATTCAGAAAGGAAATTAAAATGTTATTATTTATTATTATTATTGTGGCAGAAGCTGGTGTGGTCCACCACAGAGAAGCTGCTCTAGCATGATGACTTTAATTATTCTACAGGTTATTGTTCAGCCTTCTGCCGCTCACGTGTCTGACTGCTGACGCTCACACACACACACACACACACACACGAGTGTTGGTGAGCGGCTGCGTCTGACTGCTGACGCTCCGTGTGTGTTGTTATTTCTGCAGTGAGACAAACTCACCTCACACCGTCCAGAGTTTGTTCTTTAAAGCTTCTATTAAATCCACCGTGTTGACGTATTTAACACGTTTCCTCTACGCTGCAGGAGTTAATGTTTACATTACGGAGTAAAAGTTAGTGATGTGACGTTCACGAACGAATCGAATCTTTTGAACGGGTTTTCAAAGTGAATGATGAGAGCCAAGTCCCAGCAGAGAGCCGGGGCTCGTGCTGCACACACACAGCTGGTGTGTGTGATCAGCTCTGAAAAGTGTTGATCACAATTTGCAGATCATGTTTATTTTTCACGGAGGTCAGCCGCGGATTCCTCTTCCGGTCAGCATTCTAGGAATCACAACTAGGAATCGAGAAAAAAAAACTTTTGAACGATTCTGGGAAAAACTACCAGTTGGAACCGGTTCCAATCGATGCCCAACCCTAGAACCCAGGGAAGTGCAGCGATACCGACAACCAAATGGTCCAATAGTTGCTTTCGTTACATGTTATTGGTTGAGGTTTTTAGACAAATGCGACAGAACTTCTTTATTAATTTTTTGTGCGTATTTTTTTATATCTCCACAATTACTGTGTTAGAAAGTTGAGACGTGAAAAAAATCAAGCTTTCCAAATTAGCCCACGTGGCTCCGATGACTCATCCTAAACGTAACTGATGAATGGAGATCGCCATGGTGTTGAAACTGTGGGACAACATGGAAACTACTGGAGAAGGGGGTTTGTGTACTTGGCAGGTGCTTTTATCCAAAGCATTTTACTAATGAGAATGTACCGGAACACTTAATGTTGAGGCTAAAAATAAACTCCGAGCGTACGGCCCCGGGTGGTGGAATGTTGTCTCTCCAGCAAACTGTTGCTGTGTTTATAATATTTTCATGCTCATATTTTACTATTATGCATATTTTGGGCCTTTTTAAGCAGTACAACTACCAATAAGAAACTATAAAATAAATTTAGCATTTTGAGAATTAAAATAAATAATTTTACGACCCGTGAGGATTTTTAACTGGAGGATTCTGGCTCTCATCTGGACTTGACTTGGGCTGGCAGGGCTGACCGTGTAAACCTAAAAGAAGAGTTTCTCATCGGTTTTGCTTTAATCCTGATACGACATTGATGTTCATCCCCCTGACGTGGCAGCAACGCTCACCAGTCACCTGGAGTGTGGGGTTATGGTTCTAATCAAAGCTTACTGGTTCCGGTACCAAACGCATCCTGTTACGTTTGACTGTGATGTGGACAAATACTGCAGAAATCTGTTGTTTTTTCAGTCAGCTGAACTGGTTTTGTTTGCATTTGACTAAATCCTGATTGTATTTGCTACAGTTACCATTCATAACTGCTTTAAAACAAAAAGACTGAAGGTTTAGTAGCTTCTGATATATTTGTAGAAAGCAGATATTTTCATGGGTTGTACGTTATCTGGATACTTGTGAAACGTTCTCTATGTATCCCACTCTCATAACTGTTTTTCCGCAGGCACGGCGTTCGATTTAGTTGACTTGAGAAAAGTTATTTGTAGTTTATTTTTTATTTGTTGCTATTGTTTTGTAGTTTTTCTGTGATTTTGAGCTGATTTATTAATCCGACTGAGAGGAAACGCTGTCTGCTCGGACCTCATCAACATGCAGCTCTCGTGGCTGGACTCACAAACCGCCTCTCTGTGACGGGAGGCAGAATCCGCTGAAAGAACAGAGCTGCCTCCTGAAGAGGCAACATGAGTGTGTGTATAGGATATACACTTTAATACACTTCACTCTCTAAAGAACACTAGTGCCATATTAAAGACAGGAAGGAGGTGGTGTAGTTTAAATGGCTCGACAAAAACTCAAAATACTATTAAATACTATAATAATACTAATACCATGCTTCTTTTAGCTTTAGATGTTGCTTTAAAGAAGCTTCAGATCATTCCAATGCCCAAGAGACCCACAGTCAACTCGACTATCGACCTGTCGCACTCGCACCAGTAATAATGTAGTGATAGAGAGACTGGTCAAAGATAACCTCCAGTACACCGAGGAGCCTTCACCCACTGCCCTCCACTCCACTCTGGATGCTCTTTGTGGCCTTTAGGTCGGCCTTCACAAAAATCCTCCAAACTCTGATCACCAACCAGGACCCTCTTGGACTGAACTTCCCCTGCAAAACTGAATATTGGACTTTGTGACAGACCTCAGTTAGTGTGGGTGGTCGTTAAGGACGGGGTGAATGCTGAAACCTTGTGACTTGTGCAAAGTTTTTAAACAGCTACAGTAAAAAGTATGCGGACAACACAACAGCGGCCTCCTCGAGGACGGTTGTGGCAAGACCTACAGTGGTAGTGCATCTTTTTGCAAACGGGTGCAGCAACATGAACTTCATTCTGAACGGGGAAAATTTTAAGCACTGATCTTTGAATTCAGGAAAAGAAACACCCTCGTCTAGTTTATCTGTCCTCATAACGTGTACCTAGTGCACAGAAGTCTCTGTGATATAGAACTAACTTCACATCCTTTAGAATAAGAAAATAAAATGTAGGGATGTCCCGTTCTGATATCAGATATCAGCCCAAAAACACTGAATCGGAATATATCGGACTGCATCAAAAAATCTCCGAGATAAGCAGTACGTTCCGCTTTAAATTCCATTCCACCATTTCTAGCAGCTCCCAGATCCAGCAAAGTCCATGTGATCAGAACATTTAAATTCAGAATAGATTTTAAGATCCTTCTTCTCACATACAAAGCTCTTAATAATCAAGCTCCATCATACATCAATGATCTGATTGTTCCATATGTTCCTAACTGAGCACTTCGCTCTCAGACTGCAGGTTTACTGGTGGTTCCCAGAATATCTAAAATTAGGATGGGAGGCAGATCTTTTAGTTATCAGGCTCCTCTCCTGTGGAACCAGCTCCCAGCTTTAGTCCGTGAGGCAGACACTTTGTCTACATTTAAGACTAGGCTTAAAAAATTTTATTTGATAGGGCCTATGGTTAAAATCTGATGTTAGCCTAAATCTGGACAAGTGGGGGAGTAGAGGGAGGTGGAGTGTACAGTCGGTAAAGACGGCTCTCCCTTGCCCTGCCTCCAACATGCCTCCATCTAAAAGGCTAGGTTATCCAGAGTTATCTCTGTTTATTATGTTTATGTATTTAGCAGACGCATCCAAAGCGACTTACAATTTATAACCTATAGGGCGTGTTGTGATCTGTGGGGGAAACCGGAGTACCCAGAGGAAACCCACGCATGCATGGGGAGAACACGCAACTCCACGCAGAAAAGCCGCAGCTGAGTTTCGAACCTGCAACCTTCGTGCTGCGAGGCAACAGTGCTAACCACTGTGCCACCATGCAGCTCTGTAGTTATGTTGCTATAGGCTTAGACTGCTGGAGGATACACTGACCACTTTTCACACTCTACTACTTTCTTCTACAATCTGCTCTTTAACTGTATTATTTCCTGCTATTTCAGCTGTTAACTTTATTTTCTCTTTAAGTGTTTTTCTCCCCAGAAGAAGCTACAACGATGTTCTGCTGAGCTGTGGTGGCCTCATGGAGGGGGCCATCGTCTAGCACACTGCTGCTAACCACTTAAACATTCTCCTTCTCCTAATAATAACTTTTTGCTTTCCTTGACGTTGGATGTGCTACTACTAGTTTACCCGTTTAATTATAGATCCACTAGGATAAATACAATAAAGGTTATCTTTCACCAAATAGAATATTTACTAAGACATCACAATGTAACCACAGAAACACTGTGTGTGTGTGTGTGTGTGTGTGTGTGTGTGTGTGTATGTGTATGTGTATGTGTATGTGTATGTGTGTGTGTGTGTGTGTGTGTGTGTGTGTGTGTGTGTGTGTGTGTGTGTGTGTGTGTGTGTGTGTGTGTGTGTGTGTGTGTGTGTGTCTGCTCTGTCTTCTCCATCCCCAGTGAGTCGTGGAGGATGGCTGCTTATACTGAGCCAGGATTCTCTGGAGGTTTCTTCCTGTTAAAAGGGAGTTTTCCTCTCCACTGTCGCTGCATGCTTGCTTAGTATGAGGATTGCTGTAAAGTCACTGACACTAGTCAGTGACTCGATGCAACCTGCTGGGTTCCTTATATAGGAAACATTATTTCTGATTGGCTTAATGAACTGACCTGTATTGGAATGTTTATTATGTGAAGTGCCTTGAGACGACTCTAGTCGTGATTTGGCGCTATATAAATAAACTTGAATTGAATTGAACAGTGTGTGCTAGCAAAGTAGCAAGGAACAATGTCGGCCATGGCTGTATTACTGGTTAAAGTCTGAAAAAGACAGTTTGGCTCAGTGCAGCACTTGTCATGCACCAGTTTCCCGTAGTGGAACAGAACTGGGGAAGATCAATACGTCCAAACTCATCGTGCATTTAAAGCAGGATCACAAAACGTTACGTGACGATTATCGCAGTGTGTGAAACTGAAACTTTACACTCAACTTGTAGCGGTTGGTCAGTGAACAATATTGTTTTTTCCTCATGCCCCTAAGCTCAGCTGTTCACAATTATGCAACCAAAATAAAAAATTGGTCAGTTTTTTATACTTACTGTTGCTGGCTTTTGTTTTCTGTTTGAGTAAAATTACTTGATCGAGCCTTTCATACATTCCACACTATGCAAAAGGTAAAAGTATGTATGGTATGTGCTGACATCGTATCGGAATGATATCGGCATCGGCCAGTACTGAGGGCTGAAATATCGGTATCGCATCGGAATGATATCGGCATCGGTCAGTACTGAGGGCTGAAATATCGGTATCGTATCGGGATGTCCCTAATAAAATGTACAGGACCTTTCTGTTTTCTTATCCAAAACACCTGAATCCATTTGACAGCAGTGTGTTCACCATTTTTATTAATAGTGCAAAATTATATATATGCACTTTCCAGTGGCGGCTGGTGAAAAATATTTTTGGTGGGGCTGTGCTATTTTTTTTTAAACAAACTTGTGCTTTCTGAGCTTTGTGCACAACTTCACTATTTCCTGAATTAAGCACAGCTCTTTTATTTCCTGTCTTACATCATTGGACAAACTGATTAATCCAGGTGTGTCTGACTATTGGCACGCTGCCTTGCGGACCAAGGTTGAAAAATACTGCATTAAATTGCACATAAAATAACACGACCATAAATGGTAAATAGGCAATGCAAGAGGCAAGTAACAAAAACATTTTGTTTAATTTCAACATTTGAGTGAACACCAAAAATTATGAGCAGGTCACTGTTACAGTAATGGTAGTAAACACTACTTAGACAAAATGCCAGAAATTTACACTGTTAGGACTTATGGAAAGTGGAAACACTTTCATAGGAAATAATGTCATCAGTATCCTCTTACAAATGTCATATTTCCCACTTTTTGGGACAAATCAGAAATGTTTTATTGTCCCAAAAGCTGGGAAATTTGTTTGCTGCAGCAGAAGTGTAACAAGTAAAATGGAATCAGATTGATGTATGTACAAATTTACTTGAAATACACATTTACATGATTAAATATGTATAATAGGTATGTGTGTTGAAATTAGTTTTTACAGTTATTGCACATTAAACATGTTATTAAACAAATGTCCCGGTTTGTGGGACAACCAAGGATTTCTGATTCTGATTGTCTTGTTTACAGAAATGTAATGTACAGCTTACCTCTGCACCCAGCTGCTGTTCTCCCTGTCCAAACGTCCTCCGTTTCTTTGTTGGCTGCTGCACTGATGCGCTGCATTCCTCAGTCAGAGAAGGAATGGAGTCCCCAATGAGACACAAGTTCCACATCCACCTTCTGTGGATCCCAGCCGTTACGAATAACAAACACGGAAAGCAAAATAACGCATTAGCGTGATTGCATCCAGCTAGCCACTGCTTCCTGGTGTACCAATTTTGGGAGAAGCGTCGTGTGTACAGTTTACCCTTCTCCTTCTCCTGCTGGCTTCTCTTTACGTCGGGCTGATCTGGTCCAAGCTCTTTGACATTAAGTTTTTCCACCATAGTTCTCCTCTCGAACGGATGCTGGAGAAGAGACCGAACTGAATTCAGTGGCTGCTGAGATCCGGTATCCTGGTTGTAGGCTCACTGGCGTCCATGTCTACGTCTGTGTCATGACCGTCACGAGTCACGACCAAAAACGTGCTGGAGTCGAGACTCTCCGAGTTCTACCGAACACCAACGAAAGCCTTGGCGGTAGCTCTATCGCCCATCATGCTTCTGAAACGTTCTGAAACAACGTCGACGCTGATTGGATACATTCCCATTCCTACCCTTTGATATTCTTGTCAGCAATTGGACAGCTGGTCTAGTTTGGGCGATTGAAAAACAGCACACAGCCTCCACCGCTCGGCAGAGACCAACATAGATATATATATATGATTTATTTTTGTTACAAAACACACAATTAACTTAGAATATGTGATTATTGTTAATTTTATTTATTTATTTATTTAAATAAAAATTAAAAACAGTGGGGAAACTGGGAGGGCGGCGCCCTATCGCCCTCTACTGGCCAGCCGCCACTGGCACTTTCCTTTGTACATTAATGTCGGTAGTTTTTAATCTGTAACTTTTGTGATGTTTTAACTTGAGCCCTGTGCTCTCAGTGTTGTTGAGAAATGCATCTGCACTGACTGAATGACACAAGTCTTCTGAATCTGAAGAAAATGTTGACACCAACTAAAATTAACTAGAGTGATCCCTCACAATGAAGAGAACTGCTGTAAAAGCAGAGAAGCCCATGGGCACATTAGAGCTGCAGTCAACATTAAAACGTGTATATGAAGCGGCTCCGCCGCACACGACTCACAACCAGCCTCCTTGTTGAGATTTAAAGTCTTTATTACAAAAACTATAAAACTTTTTATGAAACAAAATACTGTACACATCCCACGTCTCTAATTACACCCTTTTACCCAATGTACACATTTCTATTTACATCTGGTGCATTGATGAAGCCCATTTCCCATCTTCTGCTTTGTTTGGTGAGACGTTACTTCAGAACAATCCAGGAGAGTTGGTTGAGTCAGCAGAAGAGAACCACAGTGTGCCGCTGGAGAAAAATAAAACTTAAACCAACTTCCTTTGGAACAAGAAAAGGCTCCATGAAATAAATATACAGGATCTTTCTGTTTTCCAAGTTCAATACCACATTAAATATGCCAGTCTATGAAAACATGGGAATACCGTAAAAACTGGATGCAACCACCTGATAAAACTTCCTAAAGTCACCTTCTACTTTTTAGTTACGGCATGCAACCACCTCCGCACGCTAGCACGTCTTCATGGCTAGAGTCCTTCAGCTCACGCTCACACTACAGCTTCTGTTCTTTTACCACCCTGATGCAAGGCAATGACTATTTTCATCAAAAATAATGGCAAACACAAACGTTAACATTCAGCCTTCTAGCAATGGTAAATGCACCTTTAGCTCAGGGGTGGGGAACCTTGGTCCATCGAGGGCCGCTATCCAGCATATTTTAGTTTCAACCCTGCTTCAACACACCTGGTTTCAATCAGCGGGAGATTAACAGGCTTCTGCAGAGCCTGATGAGCTGCTGGACAGGTGAATCAACCGCTGAATCAGAAGTGTTGGAGCAGACATGCAGGATCCCGGCCCTCGAGGACCAGGGTTCCCCACGCCTGCTTTAGCTGAATAACGGACTCTGGGGGCTGGTGACCACTAGGAAACCCTGAGCTGGGTCTGAGCAAACACACATTCAGTTATTCAGCCTGCTTTGTACCACGCCACTGGTTAAAGCGGAGTTACTAAAACTAACTAGGAGCATTCAGGACGCTCTGATCCGTTTAGATTCAAATTCAAACCATTTGAATCCTTTCAGACAATCTTGGTCCAAGCCAGTCACATCTGTAAGTAATGTTGCTGGGTTCAGTTCAGGTTTTAACCCAAGTTTTTCATCAATAGCTATTGAAAGATATATTTTTTATTTTATTTGATTAAACAAATTGTATTTCCGACTGGACTTCCAAAGTTACAGCAGGTCGGTTCAGGTCTGGTGTTCAAGTCTCAAACAGGTCACAGAAGTTTATGCAAACACCCGTTCATAAGCATGTGTTCGTTTAGCGCTTCTATAATTACTATTAATTAAATGGCTGTTTGCATGGGAAATGTGCAACCAAGCTAGCTATATTCAGTCAGAGTAACCATGTCATATAAATAATGTTTGCATAAACGGCTGTGAAGTGTTGAGATTCGTTGGTGCATCTTCGTCAGAACTCATCTGTATTTCTCCAAACGGAGGTTGTTGAGCTAAACTAAAACACTAGAAAGAACGTGAGACTGCAGAAACGTATCAAGTTGGCTGCCACCAATACTGAAAGGTTGGAAGGATTTTACTCTGAACACTAGATAAGTACATTTAAAGTCCGATGGCACGCCCGATAGACACTTTTTAAATCTATTCATAAAAATAACTTCACACTATTTTGACAAAAATGCTGAAATAGTTAAAGGACTATTCAACCCTGGTGCTCAAAAGCCACTAACCAGTATGTTTTAGTTGTTTCCCTGCTCCGAATCACCTGGTCAGCAGGCCATAAAGCTCTGCAGACACCGATCGGTGATGAGGCAGAGGTTTGTCTCACACCTGTTCTATTGCACCTGGTCCCAAAAGGAGCTTTTACACATTCAGCATGAATAAATGTCTGTCTCCAGTATTTAGAGGCTTCAGTGATCCAACACACCAGCTTTAATCAGGTGGAGATGAACAGGCTCCTGAATCAGGTGTGGAGGTGCAGAGAAACAGCTGACCTATGGTAGACGGGGCTTAGGTGTTTGTGGACAGGAGAACATCTAAAGTAGAGCTGCTGGGGGCTTGTTCCATACTTACTGGGACCGTCCATTTGGTCATCTAGAGCTAATGTGGGCAGAATGTAAAAATGATAGGAGTAGCATTTGGGGACTTTGCGTGAAAATAAATGTGTTTTTTCCAAAAGGACACCTTTTATTTACAAATGTACATATTCACAAGCCTGAAAAGAAAAGTCAAGTGTTCCGTTTGTTGTTGGAAGCCGGGTCAGCTCACCAGCCCTGACCCGGCGCTACGAGGCGTCTCTGGATATCCAGCCGCTCTCCGTCAGGAAGGTGAGAATCCGTTTCTTGAGAACCTTGTCCAGATAGCTGGGCAGTCGGCTCTTGGCGGGGATGCCTTGCCTTTTCTGGAGATGATCTTTGATGATGATGGTTTTGACAGTCAGGTAGCGCGTCGGGCTCAGGTTCAGCGAGTTACACAACACCTTCTCTCTATCTGACAGGAGCTCAAAGCCCGCCAGATTCTCAATGGCTGCAAACTCTCCGTCTTTACCATCTTCTTTGAGCCCACCGCCAACCCCCAGCCCTCCAGCGACGCCTCCTCCAGCTCCACCCCCAAGTCCCGTCCCAGAACCCAAACCGGCTCCTCCTGAACTGCCGCGCTTGGAGGCCACCACGCTCTTGTTCTCTTTCCGTTTCTCCCGTTTGTGTCGAGCAGCTTCGTACTCTGCTGACTCTTCCAGACGTGTGATGCCGTTGCGGCGGTAGCGCTGCAGCTCACGCACCTTCGCTCTCAGCGCTCGCTCCTTGTGCATGTTCTCAAAGAAGTCTTCAAACTCTCGATGGGCCATGAACTGGCAAAGCGCCCGTAATCTCACTCGCTGCTCCTTCTCTTCCTTGGTGATCTTCCTTTTGGGGGTACCGGGAATGGGACCAGACCCAGCTCCTGCTGTGGATGCCGATCCAACTCCTCCTCCTACTCCAGCCCCACCCACACCAACAGAGGCTCCTCCCACTCCCAGCCCACCAGGTTTCTCCTTCTCCTTGTCTTTCTTGTCCCTTCCGAGGAACCCGGGCACCAGGTTATAATCTCGGGCGATGTTCTTGCGTCTCTGGCGCTCCCTTAGCTTACGAACGTACATGTCCACGTGGGCACGCTTTAACTCAATTTCCACATCTTCGTCGTCGTAGTTGACAGACAGCCCGCTGATCAGCTTCTCTGCATCCTGGTCGTATTCAATTTCATAGTCATCTCGTAGTGGCATGTAGCCAAGCTGCTGCTGCTCCGCCAGGATTATGTCCAGCGGGGGAAGGGGGGTGGTGAGGCTTGGAGACAGGGGGCCCCCACTGGGACAGGTGTGGTCCGTTACTCGGTTTGGAATATTGTCAGGGATGCAGGCTTTACCCAGGTTACCATGAATATACATGGTGACATAATGCTCCATGACTTCCTGAGGGGTCCGGGATGCTCCGACATGAGCCGCCATGTCTTCCTGAAAGAAAACAAGTCGGGACAAATAAAGACAAGGACATAAAAGGAACCCAGAATTTACCTGAATGGCTTTACTGGATTACTAACCAATGGGGGTGCAGCACATGGAACACAGAGGTAAGTGTTAGGGTGTTTTAGGACGAAGCACATGATTAAATACTTTACTCAGAACTCGGTCCAAGTAGCTGACTAACTTTATACTTTAGATGAGAAACCTACGAGCCCAACAGACGTATCTAAAGTCCTGAATGAAACAAGGCGGTGCTTGCTCTAAAGAGCCAAGATGGAGGACGGATTCAAGCGCCACACATTCATCACAAATTAAAACGGTCTTTTTTCTACAGGTCCTGTGAACGTGTGGACTGAGGGAAAACGGCTCTTTGGGTCGTAAATGTTGCAGATCCGTGAACTGCATCAGTTCTGAAGCGAAGCTTCTTCATGGATGAGACGTGGAACTTCTTCAAGCTAATTCCAGATGTTTCCAACTAAAACGTCTTGGTTGGCATGTCCTGGATAACTTGAATCTACACAAACTCAAGTATCAGAACGAGGTCCTTATCAAAGCCTGTTGAACAGCGATTACAATGAGACTGGTATGTGGACAATCAGAGTCAGACCAGAGGTCACAAGTGTTTCACAAGAACGCCTTTCATCAGGATCAGGGGGCGTGTCCAAGGAGATGAATGAAGATGTGAGAGTAATGAGTTTACACTAATAATGTCCCCAGCTCCTGGTTATATGTAACTCCTGTTTATAGTGTTGTTTATCAACAGCAGTAAGAGCTAAAACATGTTCACAAGCAACAACTGTTGTTTAAAACGTCGTTTATGAAACAAACTGGTCATGTTAAGTCTTTCTGTTTGGAGGAACGAGAGAAAACATTAGTGTAGGTAAAACAGTTGCTCTCCACCTCTGCAGAAACTCTTATTCGTCGATGTAACTTTAATGTACTTATGGAATGTAGCCTGTAGTTTTGTTTTGTATTAAAGGCTAAATAATGCAAGTATCAGACGTGTGTTGGCAGACACTGGCAGGCAGCAGAGTTTAGTGCATCTATTTAAGGCCGTATGTGAAAATGCTAAACAGTTTTTCAGCCCATAGCAAGTTTTAGGACTCAATTATATCTCATTGCCCTTTTGCTGAAACACACTAAAGTTACATGTTGGATCTCTAGACTTGCAGCCTCATGGCTATGAAAGGCCTCAACTGTGAATTCAAGATCACCCAGTTTAATCAAAAACACACAGTTTAAGGTGTTGGTGACCCAAACACACAGTTTAGGGTGTTGGTGACCCAAACACACAGTTTAGGGTGTTGGTGACCCAAACACACAGTTTAGGGTGTTGGTGACCCAAACACACAGTTTAGGGTGTTGGTGACCCAAAAACACAGTTTAGGGTGTTGGTGACCCAAAGACACAGTTTACAGTGGGGCAAAAAAGTATTTAGTCAGCCACCGATTGTGCAAATACTCCCACTTAAAATGATGACAGAGGTCAGTAATTTACATCATAGGTACACTTCAACTGTGAGAGACAGAATGTGAAAAAAAATCCATGAATTCACATGGCAGGATTTTTAAAGAATTTATTTGTAAATCAGGGTGGAAAATAAGTATTTGGTCACTTCAAACAAGGAAAATCTCTGGCTCTCACAGACCTGTAACGTCTTCTTTAAGAAGCTTTTCTGTCCTCCACTCATTACCTGTATTAATGACACCTGTTTGAACTCATTATCTGTATAAAAGACACCCGTCCACAGCCTCAAACAGTCAGACTCCAAACTCCACTATGGCCAAGACCAAAGAGCTTTCGAAGGACACCAGGAAAAGAATTGTAGACCTGCACCAGACTGGCAAGAGTGAATCTCCAATAGGCAAGCAGCTCGGTGTGAAAAAATCAACTGTGGGAGAAATTATCAGAAAATGGAAGACATACAAGACTAGGGCCCGACCGATATATCGGCCGGCCGATATTATCGACCGATATAGGGGTCATTAACTCTATCGGCTATCGGCCAAAAAGACGGCCGATATGGCGATATAGCGCTACCTATCCAGCAGATGGCGCCAGCTTTATGAACTCATGTTGTGGGCTCCACTCCTCGGGGGGTGGAGCCACCGTCACAGCACACATGCAGCGGAGCAGCAGAGTCAAGCAGAGACGAGACGGTGATGAGGAAGTAGGAGGTAAGTCTTCAGTTTTAAGCATATTTGTTGTGTCAGTGGTAAGCTGAACGGTAAAATAAGCAATGACAAAAGTATGTTTCCCCTCAACATGCTTCCTAAGTTTATTGTGTGCCTCGTGGGCTCGTATTGAAAAGTTAACCTGAAAAATAAAACTGCCGCAGCATTACGCTCTACGCAGAGCTCACGCTGCTTCCCCTTTAGTCATGCAGGGCAGTAAGTAAGTAACATCGGCCTTTTTCTGGTAGACATTCTGGAATATTCTCAGACAATTTCCTCCGCTCTTCTTCAGCAGTCTTTTCAAACTCACGCGGTTCACCCGCGGCTCGCGAAAAAAATAGTGCAGACGCCGAAACTATTGCTGCATGGCGCGGGCTGGAGCGCCGGCGTGCAGCGCTTCGGCGGCCCATGTGGCCTATAGAATAGGATAACAAGGGCGACGAATGAAGGCGGTCCCCGTTTCGCGGCGCTTCGGCGGCACACGACCGTTGTCGCAGCTGAGGACGGGCGAGGGGGGGTTGGCAACAAAGCAATGAAACGCTGTGCAGGGAGTCCCCCTACTCCTCTCCATAGCTGGGAGAGGAGGGGGGGCGGTAATACGAGAAAATAAACATTCCTCTCTACAACAGAATAAATCTATTGTATTTTTCAGCCTTATATTTTACATAAGGCTTATACATTGCCACATACTAGTCATTTAACATATCTTATTTTTATTTTCCTAATACTGTCGGCTTTGGAAAGGATCAAAACACAAAAGTGTAAAACTCAAAAGTATTTTAATGCCAAAAATCAGGTGACAGAAATAAAATCAGGTTGCTAGGACGCTGAAACCAGCAGAGTATGACTGAAACTGAACCGTATGCACTGAGGAGTGAGAGATGACAGAGGACTAGTTATGAGGAGGAGCTGGGAGTGGGAGCAGAGGACAGCAGGGGAACATAGGAGGAACTATTAATGAAAATATTTTTAAAGAAGAAAGAATCCTAAAAGGGAAAGAAGAATAACTAGAAATAAAAACCTGACAACAAACGAGTAAATTCAGTGGAAGAAAAAAAAAGACTTGAATACTAAATGAGAAAACCTGAACAGCTGGGGAACCAAACAAAAACAGAGCCATTGGTTCTGAGCCACAATGTCTGATATCATTTATTTACATGATAATTTTTAAACTTTTAAGTATAAAAAAGCCACATTTAATGTATTTTACTTTGTCTTGGTATCAACAGATATATAACTGTACTTTTATGCTGATTATTTTATTACAGATGGAAAAAGAGGGTCGTAGTAAGGTGTGGGCCTACTTCACTAAAGATCCATCCGGTGATGTCATCTGCAGCATCTGCTCATCTTCAGTAGTAGTTTGTGTGTTCTGTTGTTTTTGAGATTGCAAAATAAATCTTATTTGCATTACTTGGAAACCCTAGTGAGTTATTGAGACAGTTCTTTGGTGTGTAATATAGAAATAAGTTAGCATCAAAAAGGCAGAGAATGAAGGGTTTAATCTTAAGAACATTTGTAATCATTTTTTTGTGAGGGAGATTTATCGGACATTCTATCGGCTATCGGCCTTTGTTAAAAGTTTTATATCGGTATCGGTCGGGCCCTATACAAGACCACTGATAATCTCCCTCGATCTGGGGCTCCACACAAGATCTCATCCCGTGGGGTCAAAATGATCATGAGAACTGTGAGCAAGAATCCCAGAACCACACGGGGGGACGTGGTGAATGACCTGCAGAGAGCTGGGACCACAGTAACAAAGGTCACCATCAGTAACACACTACAACGGCAGGGAATCAAATCCTGCAGTGCCAGACGTGTTCCGCTGCTGAAGCCAGTGCATGTCCAGGCCCGTCTGAAGTTTGCCAGAGAGCACATGGATGATACAGCAGAGGATTGGGAGAATGTCATGTGGTCAGATGAAACCAAAGTAGAACTTTTTGGTATAAACTCAACTCATCGTGTTTGGAGGAAGAAGAATACTGAGTTGCATCCCAAGAACACCATACCTACTGTGAAGCATGGGGGTGGGAACATCATGCTTTGGGGCTGTTTTTCTGCTAAGGAGACAGGACGACTGATCCGTGTTAAGGACAGAATGAATGGGGCCATGTATCGTGAGATTCTGAGCCAAAACCTCCTTCCATCAGTGAGAGCTTTGAAGATGAAACGTGGCTGGGTCTTCCAACACGACAATGATCCCAAACACACCGCCCGGGCAACAAAGGAGTGGCTCCGTAAGAAGCATTTGAAAGTCCTGGAGTGGCCTAGCCAGTCTCCAGACCTCAACCCCATAGAAAATCTGTGGAGGGAGTTGAAAGTCCGTGTTGCTCGGCGACAGCCCCAAAACATCACTGCTCTCGAGAAGATCTGCATGGAGGAATGGGCCAAAATACCAGCTACTGTGTGTGCAAACCTGGTAAAGACCTATAGTAATCGTTTGACCTCTGTTATTGCCAACAAAGGTTATGTTACAAAGTATTGAGTAGAATTTTTGTTATTGACCAAATACTTATTTTCCACCCTGATTTACAAATAAATTCTTTAAAAATCCTGCCATGTGAATTCATAGATTTTTTTCACATTCTGTCTCTCACAGTTGAAGTATACCTATGATGAAAATTACTGACCTCTGTCATCATTTTAAGTGGGAGAACTTGCACAATCAGTGGCTGACTAAATACTTTGCCCCACTGTATGGTGTTGGTGACCCAAACACACAGTTTAGGGTGCAGGTGACCCAAACACACAGTTTATGGTGCTGGTGACCCAAACACACAGTTTATGGTGCTGGTGACCCAAACACACAGTTTA